ATATATATATATATATATATATATATATATCTTCTCATTGACACGCGACATATAACTATACTTTGGAAATTAAAGATTTAAGGATGATCAACCAATTTTCTTCCCTTAGGTAGGAGCAATACTTCTTAAGAAAGCATTAAATATTAGATGAAGGTTGAATAAGGAAACAAGTTACATTAAATATTAGACATATATAGTCATATAATATGCAATCCAAGTATTTAGAGCAAATACAATTTAAGACCAACCAACAAAGCACAAGTGTCTTAGAGTAAATCTTTATCTAACACTTAAATATAAGCACAAGTGTAGTCAGAACAAAATGTCAAACAAAAGACCAATTCACAAACATAAAGCAAATACAATGAGCATTCTCTTCTTCATTCAGCACCTTCCATGCAACAACTCTCTCGTACGAGACAGGTCGCCCCATGCTTGAAAGACAAATACCACCTTGAAGACATGCAAAACCCTACCAAAAGAGGAGAAATTAATTATAAGCATCAGTTCTGTTGACAGCATGCACCCAATTCAGCGGGGGAAAGAAAGAAGTTAAAGAGATAAAAAAATATATATATAAAAAAAAAAAGCAAGTTCACCCACTGCAAATATAATTTATTACGTGAAGCATATGAGATGCGGAATAATATGCAACAAGTACAAGAAATGTGTATGCCATACTTATAGCAAGAAAACATTTAATAGCAAGCCTTATGGAAGTGCAATCAATGCTTTATTACAACAAAAAAAATAGTAGACCTGTTGAATAATCTGGGGAAACTCTGAAAAGAGAATTTTTCGTCCATGATCATCAAATATTTTCTCTAAAGTAATATCCTGTAATGCAACTAGGGTGGTCTCCAGCATATCAAGCCCAGCCTGGTTCGAGAAAGTGAACACTGGCAATGCCTGCATAAACAGAAGTTAAATGAATATGTGCCCTCAAACAGGATGGTATATCATGATATAGTTACAGTTGAAACTGTTTTTCAAGTCATTTCCACTGTAAGAACAAAATAAGACCGAGCATAAAATAATGTCGTCCACATCTTGTGTAATACAACTTATATGCACTGTAGCTTTGAAAATAACAAACACTTGACTTGAACGCTGACAATTGTTCAATTGTTGACACCCTCTATTTCAGAATAGAACCTTTCTTTAAAACCTTCTTAGGTTAGAGAATTTGAATTTCACTATGGACAGAGAAGATACACAAAATAGATACATGTGCTATGAAATTGAAATAAATATCAAGCATACCTTTAGAGTACAGCACAATATTGCATCTGAGTGATGCCACAAGGACTTGAGCACAGATTCGTTCCCCTCGTTATTAGATTTTAGTAGCTCCACACCCAAGTAGCACCTACAAAACTAAAACAGTCAGACAATAGCTCTGTATTAAAAATACCAGTTTCGGCAAATATATCCATGATATTGAAAAGGAGGTGGTACATAAAAATTACAGTAACTTCTTAGTTCTCTGCTACAACTTTCAAGTTAGATGGAGCAAGTAACTGCACAAAATTTCCATAAAACTGTATTTACTACTTAGGAAACATTGGGCCCAATTTTTTTGAGCTTCTCTTTAAAGGTGAAAATCCTCCATTTAGCTTCTTTTGAAAGTCTCTATTTAATTTTTTTTTTTTGCCTTTTAATCATTAAAAAAAGGCTACTTTTAATTTTAAGAGCTTAAAAAAAATTGTTTTGACCTAATTTTTCATTTTAAGAAGACAGGCAAAAAAAGGCTGGAGCGAATTAGAAAATAAATCCTATGTTTCACTATCTTGAACCAGGACAATATCCTTGATTTTTTTAACACCATTTAAAAAAAATTATAAAAATAGTGAGGGAACTTTTGGATCACAAATTTGTGAGTACTGTGAATTTATGAAAGATGTAATAAAAATGCCAATTCAATGCGTATACAGGTCTTGAATTTGAAAACGAAGTCTGTTAACTAACCCTTGTCATAGTATTAGACAACAAAAGATTTTACAAGTTATATAGGGCATTTGCATGACTTCCGGTGCCAACCAGTTTCTAACTTAAAATTGCTACCCCCATTCCTATATATAAAACCCTTTTTACTTTATTGTTTGTTCCTTTTTATAAGATCATTTTCGAATTGTCTCTTGCTTTAGTTATTTTTTTTCTTCTAAAATAGTAAATACCCATAATTAATTAACAAATTTTTTAGGCAAAAAATAATAAATGTTGGAAATTAATGAGATAAGTCCTTTCTCTCTCTTGTTAGAATTGAAAAAGATGAGTAGACACAGTTTTCAAACTTTAATTAATTAAGTGAGAAACAATTAAGTAGAAAGAGAGATTAATTTCAAAAATGTTAAGAGTAATTTTGAAAAAACAATTCAAATTCTTAACAAGTTTAATGCCATTAACTAAATTAACCAACTTTCTTTAAGAATATAAAGTAGTTAAAAGGAGCTTATATATAGGGATTAGGGATGGAGGTAGTAATAAACTACATCAGAACTTGGTGCCATGCTGCCCATGTATTTATTTGCAGAACTTGACATCTGTGCTGGTAAAGATTATTCTCCCCTAATATACAAATATGAGGTAGACGGGATTTGTTTGGAAGACAAGAACTCACAATCACTCTTCAGGCAACTCACCAAACCTATCATTAACTTAAATACTTGATTACTTTATTGAATGAGATAGCATATTAAATTTTGCCCTCATCCATATAAAAATCATGAATAACAACAGTTTCACACAGGGTAAACTACATTGCACAAGCCTCACCCTCAGTGATGTGAAGACAGAGAAGCTTACAAACCTGTAACTGTTGCAGATCCAATGAGCAAGGGTTTGTGCTTCAGGAGTACCCAATGGTGTCCTAAGCCCTGCATGTGAACTCAAATGAGATGGAGAAAGTGCTAATGCTACCCTTTGGACTGATGATATAATGCTCCGAACATATTGACGTGCCATAGATGCTACATGCTCTTGCATATGGCTTTCAAATGCAAATTCAAATGCTATTGTCATCACAGATCTCATACAGCCGGAATTTCCAGCATATTCATTCGAAGCTCGGTTTCCACTGGGGCCAACATCAAGGGCAGATGCAAGGTCAAGGGTGCGATTGGGGCTGGAAGCTTCCTGCAAAAAACTCATCGACAATTAAAAGATTCTTGAGGGGAAAAATAGAAACAACTGAACTGGTTCAACTATATGAGGCAAACCTTTCCAGATTCAAGAGGAATGATGCGAAATCCAGAAGGTAGAAGGGGAGCATCATCAGCAAAGGAAGCATCAATTGGAGCAGATATAAGTTCAGCACAGGTGCCAACAGCATTCTCATCCATTCCACTGCAGAGCTACCAAAACAACAAATGGATTACAAGAAAGAAAGTCACAAAGATATCCTAGAAACCATAAGAATAGTATAAACATAAAGTTTCCTCATTCTAATAACGGCAGGGATCATATGAATAGCAAACTATCTATTTGAGAGGCTTGAGGATATAGTATTTTTTTTCCCTCATCAGAGATCAAAGAAAGAAGCAAGTGAACACCATTCATAATTTCAACTAATAAGTGCCTATATGGACATTGGTGATTTGGTTATGATGGAGGGAAAACAAAATAATAACATCATATCAACTGGACCATGGGACACACCTGAGTTCCGATATGTATTCCTAGTTTCAAAGCAGATTTTTGGACATGAGTATTGCATGATGACTAAAATCCTTAACTAGTTCAAATTTCAAAATATTTGGTCAGCAAAACTTATTATAGGGGGGAGAAAATAAGAACGCTATGACCTGTTCCAAATTCCACGCAAGTGTTATGACTGGTACATCAAAATAAGCTTTCTAGACATTTGTGCCATACATAAATCAGAGCAAGCAAACTGGGTAACTGGCATCCATGAAAGAGTGAAACATAGAGCAAGCAGTAAGAGGAAAAAATAGCCTACTTGCAAAAGAAACATTTCTCTGGGCATTATTGTGTCTTCAGGAGAATGAGCAACTCCTTCCAATTTAATGACTTCCAAAAACTAGCAAGAATAAGATAAAAGTTGTAAATGTTGAATTATAAAATTAATACTAGCTCTATTGCATAATTAGTACCAATTTATCACCTCCTCATGCTCAATTGTGTGTGCTAGAGGGAGTATAACTTGACCTCCATAATTTCCAACACGGGATCCAGATAAGCTGCAAGGGCCAACTTTAATAGCAGCAGCTGTGTAAGCATCCATATTGTTGTCTGCCCATTCCGATCTATGCTCCCGCAGGAACCTTAGGAGAATGGCTGGGGGCACATTCTAGGCAAGAGAAATGGCACATGGCAACAGTCAAATATCAGGATAATGTTAAGACCTAAAACTTAAAATAAACAATTGGACACGTGCAACTGAAACCGTTTTTCAGTTGAACAAATTACTGAGAGATGATGATGTTGTTTAGAAGGAGAAGCAAAGAACATTAATAGTAACGACATAACAAATAAGGCACATTCACCAATAATCAATTTCGAAGGTTAATTACTAAGCAAACAAGTCCTTATCCCATCTGAGCAATATTTTGTTAACTAGGCATTTGGTGGTTACTATTGATCATTTGAGTTACATCATTTTTTTTCCAGATAGAAAAGAAAACACCATGCAGTAAACATAATGTACAGGATGTTTACACCACAATATGATCTTGACCTGTGTCCTTATCCAAACATTGTGTATAACAACAAAATAGACATAATTGATTGTTCAGAATTTTATTTTACAATTTAAAATAACTTCATTGAAATTTCTGTGTCCTGACCTGTAATAGCATTGATGCTTTGGCACATAGCACTGCATTACTGACAGACGGAAATCCATTGGCAAAAGAAAGATTCAGACCCATTAACTTGTCAGGGGATGAATTCACTAGAATAGTAACATCATCTACACCATCATTGCCGATCGTTGTCCATCCCTCATCAGTAAATCCATTGAGTGCCTCATTGAAACCCCTGTCATGAAATAGATGTAAGATTTTAATTTTATTTGCAATGAATTGGAACCAATATCACACCCCTTTAGTAGAAATGTATTAACCGGCTCAATCTTTGGCTAAGAGCTCGTAGAGCTGCTGGTCGTCTGCCCCACCCAGTGACATTAGACTGAGAAACTTCATGTGAAATCTGCCTTAGATGACGCAGGGCCTATGCAAAAGAGAAAAGGACATACAGATGGCATAGCCCTTTAAAATCCACTATTTTACTATAAAATCAAATATTACAATAATAATATATAGATGCAAATAGGGACATAAAGAAACACAATATAGATGTTGTTGTATCACCAGGGAACCATACCGCCATAGTTGTCTTTTGAGCCAGAACTGTTGATGATTCATACAGTGGACGTAGCACCTCTGGCACACTCCAAGGCTAACAATAATATAAATGAACATGCTTAAGTTATTTTCAAGTTAAATGCAAAAATTAATTATTAATGCAACAAAGTTGAATTAATGTACCTCTAAATCCATATGATCAACAATGTGGATGATGGAACCACCTCCTTCACAAGGTCTGACCAGGTACCCACTAGGCAGCATCTCTGCTCTAACAAAATGCTGCACAGGAGGCATGCTAGGACCATTCTGAGTATTTTTCAGAGACCTCTCACAGATCTAAGGCACACGTTAAGAATGATTTAGACATATGTTTTGAAGGAGAATTTAACACACTGCATAGGTGAGGTCTGTTATTAACTAATAACTACAATATGAATCAAATACAAATTTGATAAGGAATTTTTAGAGTCATTTACCACTAGGCTGCCATCTTCTAAAACAGAAGTGTAGCGCAACAACCAGAAATCTCGAGCAGGTGCCAATGTGGTTGGTGCATATAGCTGATCATCAATGGTAACAGGTAAGCACACGAATAAGTGTTCTGGTTACAATGCATTGAGATAAACAGTTCATTCGTACACAACAGTTTTTTACTTTACCTGCATGTAAAGCAGCTCAATGGTTCCACCATTTGCTGTGGGCAGCACATTGAGAACATCAACAGCTCGGCAATCGCGAAACCACAAAGGCCGATCTTTGAGGATTTCTGCAACCTGTAAAGAGTATGTTTGGCCATGATACTGATAAACCCAAGCCAGACAATCAGTAATAAAAATAATAGTAAATCTCGATCACTTACCCTAGTGGGTTCTAGTCCCACTAGACCACAGGCTCTTGCTGCCACACCAGCGCAACCATGAGAAATAGCAACGATTCCAATGGAATCCGGACCAGGCTGTGCACATTTAACAAGAATCAGTGAAGGAATGTGATTTTATAAATTTATACGTATGCCACTAATTTATTCAGAAATCATTGACAACAATTATCAGAATATGGGGGGCAAGTTATGCCAAGACCAAGATGACATTTTTATAATTCTTTTACCATTCTGTTTATGGTTTATTTATAATGAAATAAGTGGAGAATAAAATAAATAATTGATCATCTAAAGGAAAGAGTTACTGGGACACCTTCATTCCAGGCATTTGGACCCACTCAACAGCAGTCCCAGTAGCCTTAGAAAGAAATTCTGCTAGAGTCTCTTCTGCAATGGACAAAAGCCTGGGGAAAAAGAACAAGACATGATTCCATAAGCCATAAATATACAACCAGGTTGTCACACAGACCAGTGACAGAAGGGGACTCAATAATCATACTCCCACTAACCCTGCAGGACTCGCATCCCGTGGGGGATGTTGAGTTGTCAAATTGTGCTGACCACTCGTCACAGCCGATTCACAGCTTGTGTCTTTGGTTGCCTGCGTAGTCTGCAGAGAAAGCACGTTTCAAACTCAACTCTAAAGGGCTCAACATGGAAAAACCATGAAAGTGTAGGAAAAGAAAGAATTGAGCACGCAATTTGCTAAAACTACGCAAATAAAGATTGAAGAATTGGAGTCTTTTAGAGTGGGCATCATCGATTACAAGATTAAAGAATCCCAACTAACCCAATCAAAATCAGAGTAGCAATAATAATCAGAAACAAAATTCTTACATTTTGGGTGTGTTGGCGAAAATAACCATTTTCATACACCAGTTGAGAGACCTGCTTCTGCAACCTATCATTCTCCTCCATCAGCAGCTTGTTCATCGCAGTCAACTTCCTATTTACACCTTGCAGCCGCGACGACTCCTTCCTCTGCTTTTCTCTACATCTAAACTCCCAAAAGAACAAAACAAAACAAGAGTTACCTCAACAAAACTTCATTTGGCACTGATTTTCCAATTGCCTCAACAACCACACTCAAATAGCAACATAACAAAATGAATTGCATGGATTAAAAATAAAAAATAAAAAATTGGGCAAAAAGGAAGGTAAAAATAATCGAAAAGGGCGAGGTTAGAGTGGGTACCTTCTGTTCTGGAACCAAACCTTGATTTGTTTGGGCTCAATGTTGGAGAGAATGGGGCACTCGCGTATGAGCTGCTGGCGGCGAATGGAACTGGGTTTAGGGCAATCGTGATAGAGCCGCTCCAGGGCTTCAACCTGCTCAGGCGTGTAACGGACATACTTTCCGTTATCCATTCCGATTTTGCTACCATCCTTGCAGGACATTGCCGCCGCCAATTGAACGCTCCAATACCTAACTCCGTTCAAGTTCTACCTCTACGTGGAGATCTGGTTCGCCGCTTCACCGATCTCTCTCCATGGGATTGCAATCAACTCTGCTCGATCTGCGAAGCGTGAATAAGACATGGATATTGGAGAGAATTAAATTGAATTGCTTCTGCGATTTTTACCTTTATTTTTCTTGAGAGAAAAGTGGAAAGTTGAAACCCTAGGTCGCTCTTTCACCACTGGTGCGCTGTGCCTGTGAACTTCACCCTTTCTTTTCTTTTGTTGCTCACTGTTTTCGGTGCTTCCTCACTCTCTACTCTGTACCCAATTCCACCCACTGTTAATTTTTTTATTTTTTATTTTTTATTTTTTATTTTAATTATACTCCTACAAACAAAGATTAAAAATGAAAAAGTAATACATTTTCAGGAATGAACTGCACGAGACAAGAGAATGCTTGGACCGAAATACCCTTATCAAGCGGCGCCACTTGGCGCTTGTGTCATTATTTAACTATAACTATTCCTTTACTTTACTACAAGCATACACAATGCATTTATTTTTCATGTTTCTATTCTACTGTAATTCTTTCTCTTCTCCTGCTCCTGCATTGTCTCTGTCTCTTCAATTCTTAAAATATTGATTCAACTTTATTTTTATTTTTACAATTAGTTTAATTATTACTGTACGTTATAATTTCTTTAATTTTCTTCTATTAATTTACATAGGAAATTTGATACTATTTTTAATTAATATACTATTTATTTATACTAAAATTATTTGTATTCCTTCATACGACTTTTATTATTAATATTTCTTTTTTATTTATGATAACTTATTTGAACTCCTTGGTTTGGTTGAAACTTGAAACAGTGTCAAGTTTGTCAAGTCAAAATGCCATCATTCATTTCCATTGGCTGTATTCATTTGGACCTAGCTCGATAGCTTCATTTACACCAAGACATTGATATTGATAGGTGGCAAAATTCATATTTATTTATTTTGTGAAAAGGTATGCATAATAAAATGATAGCGATAAGTATGACAATCTTCTTCTTTTTTTTCCTACCACAGAAACTGTAATTTAATTGTGTGCAAGAATGGTAACGATGTGCCATAACTCTAAATGAAATTACTATATAATTAGTAACGGAAATTAAATTATTAGAATATACAGGATTATAGGAAGAAACAAGTCATACACGTATATAAAATTTAAGTATAAAAATAAAACACCTAAACTAATATAAATAAATTATATATATATATATATATATTAATCTCAAATATAATAATGTGTTTTACTATTAGTCAAGTTCAATTATATAAGTATCACAGTAGTATTGATATCAACCAAAAAGGCATCATAAGTCTCCTGACATCAGCAACTCCTCTAACTTAATCATGATCTCCTCTTATACAACATATAATCATCACAAACCAAATCACATTGAAAACAGGAGGGTAAGTTAGATTTCAAAAACATGTAAGTATAGAAAATAATTTCATATCATATAACATCACCATAAACATATATGAAAGTTAAAAACACCAATGCTAACATATATCTCATTCAAACCATGTAACACAAGATATCTAACATTGCATATAAACACACAACAACATACATTATATGCAAACACCTCAAACAATGTGATTTGATCTCTAGACTAGATAGACTTATCAACTCAATCATCTCTATAATAAATAGACTCATCAATTGAATTGGATTACTAATCCCAACAATATGATTTCTTGAAAATTTTTCATTTATATTAGGAAAGTCCGATTTCACGATTAGGAATGATACAGTTGGTTATAGGCATATTATAACATCGACATGCATTATCAAGTCACATGTAAAGTTAACACACTGGTCATCCTTAATGAACAACATAACCTTTTCAAGTATTTGGTTAAGGGTTGCAGCCTTTGATCTCTTACCTTACTCAACCACTAACTAAGGATATAAAAGAGACTCAATACACCTTAAAATCCACTCCAAGAGACATGTCTATTCATCGAGAATTTTCTAAACAATGGACTACTCGAACACTATTTCAAGATTTTCTATGTGGGATCTTCGATTTTTAAAACAATTTTTTCTGCTCAAATTTTAAGTTAATTAACATATCTTAATGTCATATTGTATAACACCAATTTAACCAACATAATTTTATTACATAATTTCATTATTTATTTTATTTTTAAAATAAAGATAAAATATTTCGACTTCACTATTATATATATATATATAATATATATAAATAAAGAGTAAAAGAAATGTTCGGATCTTAAATGATAAAGAGTAAGAGATTTGATGATTACCAAAGCAAAAGGTGAGTTTTGATTTTAAAAAAATAGAAATTAAAAATTTTGTCCATCCGATTGGTAGTGCGATTTTAATCTAGAAATTAAAAGGTGGGTATGAGTTTCCGAGCGTGGGGAAAGGGGAGCTTGGCCACGGTGTTACTAAAAATGATAGGTTAAAAAGTGAGAAATGGCAAAAGCGTCATTACATATTAGAGGCATGAATTTGTGATTTGGGAGTGGAAGGGAAAGGGAAAACGGGAATAATGCATAATGCATAATGCGTTGGGGGAAAGAGAAAAAGAATAGAAAATGAGGGATGAGAGTCTTAAAATGCAGAAAAGGGTTACGTTTGCGTGCGTGGGACTAAGACACAATCATGACCTTTTCGCATGCGTCTCTCTATTAAATATACTCACTTTTTAATACAAACAAGACAGCTATACTTTCAAATTTTAAAGGGAATCGATGGGAATGGCATATCCATATGCCATACATGCCATGACATGACCCTCAATAGGACATGTGAGTCGTCACATGCCAATTCTTTAAACAAAAATCGGATGGGATGTGACATGATGGGATGGAATGGTAGGTATGCACTGTCAAATGTCATTACATACTTCCATCTGTCGCCTTAAAATGCTTTTTTTCCTATATAGTATGTATCCCATATTTCGCACACCCTTTATTATTTATAAAATTAAATCAATTAATACACATATAACAGAATCAACAATTATTTTTTCTTTATATACAAAGGGGATAGCAGTCGGAGAACTCTTAGTCCCTGTTTGTTTCAGGGGATTTACTGTTAATGACGAACGAAAGATGAAAAAACTTGACGTTTGTTTCTGCTGATTTGCACTGAAAGAAAAGCGAAGAAAAGCGGGAGAACCCGCGTGGCCGTTCCTCGCGAAATTGTGAAGAAAAGAGATGAAAGTTACGTAAGAAATGAGAAAACCCGATAATACCCCTACCCAAAAGCTGAAAAGAGATGAAGCTCTGCCGTGCTCATGCATGCATAGACTGTGCCATTATAGGTAAGCTTCATTTTTTTATGCATGAGGGAGGGTAGCCAAGGTATGAGAATGAAGAATGGAGAGCAAACCGCGGTGAAAAACTGAACCCCCAGCCAGCATAATCGATTATGTGCCATACATAATCAATTATGGTGGCATATTTTTGCTTCCAGGCGCGTTCCTTCCTCGTCGATGTTGTGGGGTTGTTAGGATGATTTTGTGCTTCTCGTTTCATTTGTTTATTTGTTTTTTAATTCTATAAAATCTAATCAGCTCACGCCCTTTCTTTAATTCTATTTTATTAGTTTAATTAATTAATTAATTTGTACTCTAATTTGATGTCACTTTGACCATTGTCGGATGCCATTGCCAACTTTTTTTTTAATAAATAAATGGTCACTGTTATAATGTCCATTCCCGTGAAGGGAGTCTATTCGATATTTAATATAATACATTAGTGGAGTTTATATGTGGATAATATATAATGTGGGTCAAAGTTTTGTTTGTGCATGGATCTTATTTCTCTCAGGTCTGTCAAAAAGTGGAAATATAAAAAAAATAAAGTAATACATGTTTATAAAATTAAAATAATAACACTTGTTGGGATTCAAACAAGTCCCACATCGATAAAATAATACAACAAATAACAACTTATATAATACAAACATACGTCAATGATTGAGAGGCCTTTTGGGTGATGACCAAAAGCAAAACCGTGAGGGCTAAGGCCCAAAACGGACAATATCTCATCATTGTGGAATATGTTTGTGTAATAACCTTATAAAAACATTTAATAAAATATTCTCTCAGACAAGTACCATAAAAATAACCCCATCAACACTTTCATAAACATTAATAAAATAATATTAGAAAATATAATTATCATAATATATTTTATTATTATTATTTATTATTATAAATATTAGTATTATTATCATTATTATTAATATTATTATTATTTATTATAATTAGTATCATTATTATTTATTATGATTCTTATTATTTTTCTAATATTTATTATTATTATCATTATTTATTATTTTTTTAATAAATTATACCTATTAATATAATTTTATTGTAATTATTATTATTTACAATAAATAATATCTTACTCATTTTTAATCCAAGGGTAAAAGTGTAAATTACATATTCATCTATTAAATTTTTAATTTTTATCTATCACATCAATCAATTTCTACACAAATTCTCACAAACTTTTTACTCACTTTCCACTATCTTTTCCTTAATCCAAACAACCTCACTTTCCACTCTCTTTCTCTTCAAATCTTTCCTTTTCCACTCCCCCAAATTCATCCTTCAATCCAAACACAACCTTAGTGATGTGAAATCTAAGAGAACTTAATCTCCGTCCTGACCTATAACATTTAAGAATGAGTAAAACCCTGACTTTCACCAGTCCCCCTTTCTCCTTATTTATATAGGTCTCATATACGTGATACGAATCTTTGATTCTCATCCCCTTAAATGAGTGCAGACTGCAGATTCCTCTCTGTAATGAGCCTATGAACCGCATTTATAATCATAATCAAATCTATGCAAGAATCATGAGAATCAAAATCTTGATTAGTTTTACTGAAACTCGCTCGTCAATATACCGATGGCTAGCATAAAGTTCTGGTTGCTCGGTCGGATGGGGAAAGTATGTATTTTTTAGCCTGCTCGGCCAATTGGAGACTAGGAGGGTACACAACCCTCATAGCTTATGCGTTAACAACGTGTAGAGCCATTAATCGGTCAACTCGGCAAATTGGAGATCCGGAGTAGGGATGGCAACGGGGCGGGGCGGGTACGGGTTTCATGATACTCGTCCCCGTCCCCGCTAGCCAAATTCATCCCCGTCCCCGTACCCGTACCCGTACCCGTACCCGTCGAGTATGTAATTTTCATCCCCATCCCCGCCCCCGTCGGGTATCGGGTATACCCGTACCCGTACCCGTACTCGTCAAATTTTTTATTTTTTATTTTTAAAAAATATAATATTTTTAAATTATTTTTTTAATTATATTATAATTATAATTAGGTTATTTATTTATCTTATATTATAATAAATAATCATACATAAAAAAATATTAAAATTCTTTAATATAATTAAATTAAAAGTAAGTATTAAATTAAAAATAGAAATGGGAACGGGTACGGAACGGATAAGTACATACCTGTACCCGTATCTATACTCGATTTAAAGTATCAGATTTTATCCATATTCATACCCGTACTCGATCAAACTGTATTCTTTAATATAATTAAATTAAAAGTGAGTATTAAATTAAAAATGGGAACCGGGACGGGTACGGGTACGGGTACGGGGCGGGTAAGTACATACCCGTACCTGTACTCGATTTAATATATCGGGTTTTACCCGTACCCATACCCGTACCCGGTCAAACTGGATATTCCCCGTCAAAGTCGGGACGGGTTCGGGTATTACCTGCGGGTACATGTATATTTGTCATCCCTAATCTGGAGGGTACACAACCCTCTTGGTGAGCGTTAGCAACGTGTAGAGCCATTAATCAGTCAACTCGGCAAATTGGAGATCTAGAGGGTACACAACCCTCTTGGCTCGAGCATTAGCAATGCGAAGAGCCAATGATCGGTCAATTCGGAAAATAGGAGATCCAGAGGGTTCACAACCCTTTTAGCTCAAGCGTTAGCGACGCGTAGAGCCATTGATCGGTCAACTCGGAAAATTAGAGATCTGGAGGGTACACACCTCTTGGCTCGAGCATTAGCGATGCGAAGAGCCATTGATCGGTCAACTCGGCCAATTAGAGATCCGAAGGGTACACAACCCTCTTGGCTCAAGCGTTAGCATGTGAAGAGTCATTGATCGCTCAAATCGACAAATTGGAGATCTAGAGCGTACACAACCCTCTTGGCTCGAGCGTTAGCGATGCGTAGAGCCATTGATCAGTCAACTTGGCAAATTGGAGATCTGGAGGGTACATAACCCTCTTGGCTCGAGCATTAGCAACGCGTAAAGCCATTGATCGGTCAACTCAGCCAATTGGAGATCCGGAGGGTACACAACCCTTTTGGCTCGAGCGTTAGCGATGCGAAGAGCCACTGATCAGTCAACTCAGCCAATTGGAGATTCGGAGGGTACACAACCCTCTTGGCTCGAGCATTTTCAGCGCTAAGGGTGTATGCTAGTGAAGATCTTAAAGCGCTCTTCACGCCAAGGGATTGGAGTTTAATCGACCTTAAAACGCGTTTGCGGCGCTAAGGGTATATGCTGGTGAAGACCTTAAAGCGCTCTTCACGCTAAGGGATCGAAGTTTAGTCGACCTTAAAACGTGTTTTCGGCGCTAAGGGTGTATGCTGGTGAAGACCTTAAAGCGCTCTTCACGCCAAGGGATCGAAATTTAGTCGACCTTAAAACGCGTTTTCGGCGTAAGGGTGTATGTTGGTGAAGACCTTAAAGCGCTTTTCACGCAAAGGGATCGAAATTTAGTTGACCTTAAAATGCGTTTTCGGCGCTAAGGGTGTATGCTGGTAAAGACCTAAAGCGCTCTTCACGCCAAGGGATCAGAATTTAGTCGACCTTAAAACGCGTTTTCGGCGCTAAGGGTGTATGTTAGTGAAGACCTTAAAGCGCTATTTACGCTAAGGGATCGGAATTTAGTCAACCTTAAAACGTGTTTTCGGCGCTAAGGGTGTATGTTAGTGAAGACCTTAAAGTGATATTCACACTAAGGGATCGGAATTTAGTCGACCTTAAAACGTGTTTTCGATGCTAACGGTGTATGTTGGTGAAGACCTTAAAGCGCTATTCACGCTAAGGGATCGGAATTTAGTCAACCTTAAAACGTGTTTGCGGCGCTAAGGGTGTATGTTAGTGAAGACCTTAAAGCGATCTTCACGCCAAGGGATCGAAATTTAGTCGACCTTAAAACGTGTTTTCGACGCTAAGGGTGTATGTTGGTGAAGACCTTAAAGCACTCTTCACGCCAAGGGATTGGAATTTAGTCGACCTTAAAACGCGTTTTTGGCGCTAAGGGTGCATGCTGGTGAAGAACTTAAAGTGCTCTTCACGCCAAGGGATCGGAATTTAGTCGACCTTAAAATGTGTTTTTGGTGCTAAGGGTGTATGCTGGTGAAGACCTTAAAGCACTCTTCACACCAAGGGATCAAAATTTAGTCGACCTTAAAACGCGTTTTCAACTCTAAGGGTGTATGTTGGTGAAGACCTTAAAGCACTCTTCCCGCCAAGCTATCAAAATTTAGTCAACCTTAAAACGCGTTTTCGGTGCTAAGGGTGTATACTGGTGAAAACCTTAAAGTGCTCTTCACGCCAAGGGATCAGAATTTTGTCAACCTTAAAACGCATTTTCAATGCTAAAGGTGTATGTTGGTGAAGACCTTAAAGCGCTCTTTACGCCAAGGGATCGGAATTTAGTTGACCTTAAAACGCGTTTTCGACACTAAGAGTGTATGTTGGTGAAGACCTTAAAGCGCTCTTCACGCCGAGGGGTCAGAATTTAGTCGACCTTAAAACGCGATTTCGGCGTTAAGGGTGTATGTTGGTGAAGACCTTAAAGCGCTCTTCACACCAAGAGATCGGAATTTAGTTGACCTTAAAACGCGTTTTCGGCGCTAAGGGTGTATGTTGGTGAAGACCTTAAAGCGCTCTTCACGCCAAGGGATCGAAATTTAGTCGACCTTAAAACGCGTTTTCGGTGCTAAGGGTGTATGCTGGTGAAGACCTTAAAGCGCTCTTCACGCCAAGGGATTGGAATTTAGTCTTCTCTCTTGGCCCAATTACTCTTAGGTTTTAGGTATTGATTTCCACCCAAGGGCTTAGCATTATTGATTGTTTGTTTCTCCATCTCTCTTTTCCTCATTTCACTTTCCTCAACTTTTATGTAATACATCGCCCTAGGTAGAGCTTCTGTCATGGTTTTGACCGCGTTGTGAATTAGTGATTCACCATATGGTCCCAACCTTAAGCCTTTCCTTAACGCTACAACGATCATTTTCTCATCTATGTCGGGGATCTTAGCGGCTTCTTGACTAAACTTGGTCAAGTATTCCTTCAGAGTTTCACCTAGTCCTTGATGAACGTTTAACAGATCGACTATTGTTGGGGGATTGACCTTATTAGCTGCAAATTGGGTGACAAACTTTCGCGATAGAACATTAAAATCGGTTATTGACCTATCAGGTAATCGACTGAACCATTTTAATGCAATACCTGTAAGCGTGCCTACAAACATTTTACATTGTGTTGCATCATTCCTTCCATTGATTAGCATGTGTGCTCTATAGGTGATCAAATGCTCATCTGGGTCTTATGATCCATCAAAGGGTAGCATTTTTGGAGCAATGAAATATTGTGGGATCACCTCTCTTTGAAAAGCCTCTGAGAAAGGTTGGAAGGCTCGTGGAGGTTCTACTCCTTCCTCCCTCTTTTCTTAGCTTAGCGTTATGATTTGTGCCCGCAATGCCTCTTTTATTTCCTCTCCTATACTCCTCGTTCTCACGTCGCATGGCATCCCTATTTACCTCTTGTTGTCTTTCTGCATCTTCTGCTCTCCTTCGCAAAGCTTCCATGGTAGTCATGATCTCCCATAATGTAGGTTCATCCATAGGAGGAGGACCAACCTCGTATGCTCCAACAATATTAGGACCACCAGCTATGTTGACATTGCCTTGTCCTACACCGCCATTGCTTCTTAGTGGCTTTGTCATCGTGAACCACCGTCCACGCTAGGCAACCAAGGTGTGGGATACAGTTTTACCTGTGCCCCACGGTAGGCGACAAAATGTTCCAGTAAAGGGATAACGGCCGAAGAATCCTTAATGATGTGAAACCTAAGAGAACTTAGCTGCCGTCCTGACCTAGAACATTTAAGAATGAGAAAAACCCTGACTTTCACCAGTCCATTTTCTCCTTATTTATATGGTTCCCATATACGTGATACAAATCTTTGATTCTCATCCCCTTAAATGCGTGCGGATCTCTCTCTGTAATGAGCCTATGAAACGCATTTATAATCGTAATCAAATCTACGCAAGAATCACGAGAATCACAATTTTGATTAGTTTTACCGGAACTCGCTCGCCAATATACCAATGGCTAGCCTAAAGTTTGGGTTGTTTGGCGGATGGAGTCCAGGAAAGTATGTGTTGTTCGACCTACTCGACCAATTGGAGACTAGGAGGGTACACAACCCTCCTAGCTTATGCGTTAACAACGCGTAGAGCCATTGATCGGTCAACTCGGCAAATTGGAGATCCGGAGGGTACACAACCCTCTTGGCTCGAGTGTTAGCAATACGTAGAGTTATTGATCGGTCAATTCGACAAATTGGAGATTTGGAGGCTACATATACACATTTCATCCTTAATATATTCAATAATGAGAAGAAAAAAAGAATACAAAATAAGAAAAAAAAATGATGTTTTCTTTATAAAATTAGAATATAAAATAAAAATATGATGTCTTTTAAAATATGCGCAATATATATATATATATATA